TCTCAAAAAATGCCAAGCTTTATCAGTTTGAAAACACAAACTATCAGGCTGCAAAACAAAATCACAAAAATCAAGTTCACAAAAATCAGTTTCAGATTTAGTTTCAAGTGATTTCTGTTCCAGCAATTTCTTAATCAAAATTCCGTCCAAGGCATAAGAATTTCCACACAATTCATCAATGATCAGTGTATGTCTATAACAACTCAGATCAAAGCCAATGCCTTTGAAAACAAATGAATCAAACGGTTTTCTAGCACATAAATCAGGCGGCTGCAAATCAAGCTCAAGAGTTTCTTCAAAATGATCAAAACATTTGCTATGTGTCAAGAACTGATCAAAGGTCAAGACAATTTCAGAGTTCATGCCTTTATCATTTTGAAAACATTTATGATCAAGAAGTTCATCAGGTTTAAAGATTTTAAAAGAATTAATCATGTTTTCAGAAACAGATTTCGAAACACAAAATTCTTTCATCTTTTCAAGACCAAAGTGAGTTATATCATGAGAACTAATCTTGACAAACATGTCAGGCAGAGAATTAAACAAATCATAGTTCTCACAGTGCTTTTGAAGATCAGGAGACAAAGGGGGAGGAGATGTGCCGGGATCAAAGCATAGATGACTCTCCATAGCTATGGATGTGATGCTTGTTGCTTCCTCATCAAAGACTGGACCAGGTTCATCCTCCTCATCAAAGATAGGATCTGGAACTTCATCCAAACATATCCAAGTGTCAAGACATGGGAACTGATGTGGATAGTCCAGTGGCTCTTCCTCAAAAACCTGTTGAGACAAAACAAGACTACTCGGAAGATCCGGTTGCAAAACGGTTAGCTCTACATTAGCCTGTTCATTATCAATTTCAAAATCAGGTTCCAGAGAAGGAAGATCACATTTATCATCACAAGTCATCAAACTTTCAATAATCTCGTCATCATATTCATCAAAGGTAGGTAAAGAATCTGAAAAATCTTTAAACTCCTCAACATGGGTTTCAGATTTACCTTTGGGTTTCTTGTTGATGAACAAGGATGGCTCAGCTACTGGTGCACATGTGGATGTTCTCTTCTTGTGTCTCTTGCTGACGTCCTTGAGAGCTTTCATCAATCCTTTCTCAAAGTCATCACAGATCTCTTGGATATCAAACTGAAAGGATCGCCTTTTTGGAACAGTTTCGTTTTTGGATTTCTTGACATGATCTTTGCTCCTCCTTTTTGACTTTTCCTGCACACTAACAAACTCATCAAATCTATTTTCAGGATATTTAAAAGGAG